CGTTATACAGGCTCTTACGTTACGACGACAAATACGTTATACAGGCTCTTACGTTACGACGACAAATACGTTATACAGGCTCTTACGTTACGACGACAAATACGTTATACAGGCTCTTACGTTACGACGACAATTACGTTATACAGGCTCTTACATTACGAAGACGATTACGTTATGCAGGCTTTCGCGTTACGTAAGGAAAAGATTATTAAATCGTACGTCATATGGGGTGTTACGTTATAAAGGGGAATACGTTATAATGGCTATTACCTACGTTAGGTACGGTACGGTACTTATGTTATAGGCAAGGACTACTACACACAGGACATGCATAGCCTATGTCCAGCCTCTGCTAGCAGAGGCGATCGCCTACACTATGAAAATGCTGGTGTTTTAGTGGCATCAACAAATGATATGCCCATAATTGTTTCATACAATAGTATTACAATGCGTGTAGTCTGTCTCTTATACACATCTAGATGTGTATAAGAGACAGGTGTATGAAGGCAGGAAAATGGTACCTACTTTGCTTAGTACAAAATTTTGAACTTCAAAACTGGCAAAAAGTCTATGGTTCTGACCAAGGACTACTACACATATTGTAATACTATTGTATGAAACAATTATGGGCATATCATTTGTTGATGCCACTAAAACAACAGCATTTTCATAGTGTAGGCGATCGCCTCTGCTAGCAGAGGCTGGACATAGGCTATGCATGTCCTGTGTGTAGTAGTCCTTGGTTATAGGGTATTACAAATAACTTTATACATGGTATTGCGTTATAAACCCGCCTAATTACGTAGATTTTTATTTCACAAAATAATTTTCCAATTCATAGTTATAATGCGATCTTTTCAAAAATCATCTAGCAGGATATAGGTAATCATACGTAGGTACCTATAACAGTTCGATTCAAAATGTTATTTTTTGAGAATTCCGCAATATTGAATTCAGTTCCGCAATATACTACATTAGACTGGCTGTTATATATGTGACATATGTGACTACATATGTACATGTAGGTAAATACGATACGACAACCTGTGTTATACCTACGTTATAGCAATTCAATGTTGTGCTGCAGCGCGTTATACCACTGTAACTCAAAGCGCTACAACGGCCTTTGTAACGCTAAAATGATGGCATCAAACGTGAATATTTCTTGCACAAGCCATCGACATGATATGATTAAGTTCAAATCTATAATTTTTACTTGAAAATCGATTGTTTCAAGTACATTTAAGGAGGGTGTCTTGTCCAAAAAACTTTTTTATTTACAGACGGATCATTTTAAGACATGATACACATATAAAAACAGAAATCTGAGACTTTTTGTTCGTGTAAATCTTTCAAAAAATGAAAGCAAACGTGGAATTTGTGATAATTGAAGGTATTGGTCATTGATCATTGAAGGTATAGGTTTTAATTGCGCTTCGGCGGCTGTCGTGAAAGAATAAATGAACATAAAACATGACTTTGAATTCTTCAATAAAGTATGTTCCCCTAGGTTGCCCTGGATATAACTGTTATAAATAAGTTTCTTAGTGATTATATAATAGTTTTATAACAGTTATATCCAGGTTTAGATGAGCAGTTTCTGGACCTTTAAATGAGCTATAAACCGGGGAAGTAAATTTTCTTTATTTTTGGTTGGCCTTGTATAGAGCTTTGCATTACAATATAAATACACATAGAGGGGAAGTGAGGGAAGGGCAACTAGTGAGGGTAATTGGGAAGGTAGGGGATTTGAGGGATGCTTGTCCCTTGGGGGGGAGAGTGGGGGAGGCGAGGGGAGGGTGGATAAGGCGGGGAGCGTGAGCGTGTTGCCGACACGTTCAGGGAGTCTAAGGGTGCACGCATAGAGCTGACATGCCTCGCATCCTGATAAGTGGCATGAGGCAAGTGGCGTGTGGCATAAGGCGGGCGGCGTGTGGCATAAGGCGTGTGGTGTGAGGCGGGCGAGTAGCATAAGACGTNCGGCCATACATGTGTGCGCACCACACAGCCTCGGCCATACATGTGTGCGCACCACACAGCCTCGGCCATACATGTGTGCGCACCACACAGCCTCGGCCATACATGTGTGCGCTCCACACAGCCTCGGCCATACATGTGTGCGCTCCACACAGCCTCGGCCATACATGTGTGCGCTCCACACAGCCTCGGCCATACATGTGTGCGCTCCACACAGCCTCGGCCATACATGTGTGCGCTCCACACAGCCTCGGCCATACATGTTTGCGCCCCACACAGCCTCGGCCATACATGTGTGCGCATTATTTCACACAGAATATACACGGGAGATGCCGATTCGCGATCGACCAGGCTTTCTTACGTTGTAACGTCGTTCATTTTTTTACTGTCTTTAAAATATAATAAATAACATTCTTTCCTGAATTGAGATGAAGCTTAGCAATACTACGCGTTAGTATTGCGCGAGCATATACTGTTGAATATGTTCTATGATTGTATTTAGAGCATATTCAACAGGGCACAAATGAATACAACACATCAAACACGACACCATTCATCACGACCCCAATGAATACAACATATTAAACACTACCACATTCAACACGGCTACATTCAACAGCAACTCGCACGTTACCTTCCCACAAGGAGCGACAAGTGTTCGGTGGTTTAGTCTCGATAGTTTGTGTTGCGTACACAAGCCTGGGGGTGAAGTATATTGTATATATGCTCACCTATTGCTATATCAATACTATAGTTACTTTCGCTCCACTTGCCATTACACCATTACCATCATTTTCATTCACGCGATACTAAGATATAATGATATATATATCTCCCCTTATATAAGTTACCAACTGCACATATACCTACATAGGTAGCACTACGCTACTATACATATTATATACATAATCCTTCATATATATATACATGTATATTTACGTAGGTTTGATTGAAGACCAGAGCACACTTTTTAATAACGGGTTTCTTATTGTTTTTATAAACAATAAGAAAATTGTTAATAAAAAGTATGCTCTAATCTTCAACCAAACCGGCATAAATGAAGAACTTCTGCCTAACTATACTTATACCTATACAAGTAGGTACCATATTTAATTGCGTATATACCTATATTTACTTATATTGTGTATACCTATATTTAATTGCGACGTTCCGGTACGTATAAGTGAATAGAAATATGAATGTTTGTACATGCTTTACGTTCCGATATATAAATGAATAGAAATAAGTACGTTTTAATCGATAGGCTTTGGCTTCCATTGCATAAATGAATGGAAACAAAGTTTTAATACAGCGGTGCCGGAATAATGTGATATTTACGTAGATAATTGCTCCTAATGAATGTAATTAGCTCAATTATAGCGGGTTAGATACTTGCATTAATGTATCACACGTGTAAAATTAATCCTTTTGTGATTGATTGTTCTGAAAATGAAAGCGTCAGTAAAATATGAATACGTAACAGGAACAACAGAATCCACCATGATTTATGTTAATCACAATGAATGTTTTTGAATAAATCACAACGCGTAACAGTAGAGTTTGTCACTATTAGCGAACATTATCTACATCTAACAGTGACGCGTTACAGTAGAGTTTGTCACTATTAGCGAACATTATCTACATCTAACAGTGACGCGTGACAGTAGAGTTTGTCACTATAATCATAGATTATCTACATGTAACAATGACGCGTAAACGAGTTTGTCACTATAAGCATAGATTATCTACATATAACAGTGACGCGTGACAGAGTTTATCACAATACCTATATAGTATAAGCATACATTATCTACATGTAACAGTAACACGTTACTCACACGGCAATATATCCTTGTATCTGTTCTTCCTGCGGTTCTCTTCCTTCTCGCCATGGCTGCACTCAAACCCCGGCTCATTCTTAAGACTCTCGGTGATGGCTTTTAGCTCCTGCAAAAAAAAAAAAGTTAAATTTCTGGATGTTAAATCTATCTAGTTTCTGTGAGAATATTGATCAATGCGTTACTAAACAAGATTTTATATGCCTTTCATTTTCATGTAGGTAACATCGCTTTCAGCTCAGGAAATAAAAACATTTCCATTTTCATCACTGTTATTTACAGATTTTTTATCTGTTTTGTTTATGCAGAGCTACTAATAAATGCACTTAACTACAATGTTAAATTTAACTTTTGCTTTCCACCCCTGAAAATAAATTACATTTCTGCCTTGCATTTGTGTAAGGGCACAAATATCTGGAGTCATTCTACACTTTTGGTCCCTACTTGAAGTTGCAGAAAATATCAAACAAACAACAAAGGCTATGAATATTACATCATTCTGGGGTCAAGCACTAGAATTAATTCATATTCAATTATAACTACGGTACTGTAAACTGGGGTAACTTTGACTCCCGGGGTAACTTTGACCACTTTTGTTTTTTTTAACAAAAACCCCAAAAACTCAAAAACTATTTGACATAGAAAAATTTTGTCAATGGGCATTAAAGGCCTAATACTGAGGCTACATAACACAATAGAAAGATTTAAAAAGTTTGCATATCTAATAGGTTAAAAAATTAAAAATGTGACCCACGAAAAAGAGCTATTATTTGAAGCCTGTCGGAGTACCCCTCCGATTTTTTTATTTTTTGGTAAAATAACTCCAGGTTTTGATGCATTGTAGTAGAACTCTTCTAGTTACATATGCAAAAGACAAATTTTAGGAAAGTGTCATAGTTTGCAAATGGGGGGCGCCGCCCCCCAATGGGGTAACTTTGACCACCTAATGGCAGCCGTGACAGGGTAACATTGACCGGCTTGAAAATTAAGTTAAAATTACCATAGGTACCTATATAATATATTTCATGTTTGATACACCTATTAATGTTTTTTTCTAAATTTATGGTGAGTAAAGCTAGAGTATAGACCTGTATTTTGCACGTTTCAATTTAAGTTTAACTTATCTAGTAAAAAAATGGCATCATTTTAAAAGAAAAAAGTGGTCAAAGTTACCCCAGTTGACAGTATAATAAGATTTGAAAATAGTAACATCAGTTCAGAAATCAAAATAATATACTTCATCAATTTATGTCAGATCAAAGAATGTATAAGAACAATCTCTAAAACGAATACCACCTATCTTTAGGGGGAAAAAAATTTCAGTCATCAAAATGTACATAAGTTGAAAATATGAGGCATTAATGGTAACTTGACCTCCTCTAATACTTATCAATACCTATATGGGAAACGGGGACCTCTAACATGCACAACATATTCTTTTCAGCAGATGAATGTTCCCTCCCCTTCATCCCGACAAAAAAAAAAAAAAAAGAAGAGAGAGAGCAGCATTTCCTGTTGATGCTTTTCTGTTTCTATTCTGAATGTCGAGGCAGGTTTTCAGTACTAGTGCCAACAGATGCTTGAGGAAGTGGATTCTTCAGTCACGCACACCGCAGTGTCTATTTAGATCTGTGAACAATATATAGTTTGATGATAAACTTACTGTATTTATCAAGTATTTTTATTATTAGTACCAGCTTTTAATTTTAAACATAATTAATGAATAATAAGCAGTGAATTATAAATTATATATATGTACCGTATAATTCATTCATGAATATAATTCAATTATATGTTGATAAATATATCCGTATACCGGTACCTAGAGTAATTCACTGGTCAACAGAGAGGATTGTTCCGAGATCATTTGGCATGGGGTTTGAAAGCATTTTTTGCTGCTGATTTACCATTTTTTCTCTAGCACATCTAGTTCTCAAATATTTGCATTTCTTTGTGAAATATATTTGATAATTATACATGTATGGATGATCAATATCTAAAGGAAGACATTCTTCTACCTTTTGAACTGATGATGGAGTTCTATAAAATGTTTTAAATAACGATCTGGTGAATTCTCTCCTTTCTAATTCATGTTAAACATGTAATTACTATTATTATTATACAAAGAGATCATAGTGGCGTCTGATAATGTGTAAGTCGAGATATAAATAAATATCAATTGTTTGGGGACAGATTAGGAACGACATTAGTGATCAAATTCTTTCCACTTCCCTACAACATTTTACTGCATTCTATATCTACAATGTAATACTTATTCTTTGTACTGCAATTACAACTCTAGGCTCAAGAAAACTCATCAGTAGTTAAGAAGAAAGTACGTATATACCATCAACTGGGGTGACTTCAGCCAAATTACACTAGTTTCTTCCAATCAAATTCCTACAAAATAGGAATGAGGCGTTGCTGGTGATTGTAAATTTATAAATATATTACTGAAAGGTTCTTCTTTGAATATGTCATGTCTAAATTATGTTACTTTTATTGTTTAATAGTTTTTTTCAAATTAGCTGGGTGGCCAATGTCACCCAGCGATGGGGTGACTTCGGCCACATGTGTTAAAAAATATAACTCAGTAGGTACTCACTGCAGTGAGTGACAGAGAGCGCATTTTCTCGTCGACAAAAACTTGAGGGCACGGATGAACGGACAGACAGACGGACATGGCAAACACAATAGTGCATTTTTTCCATAACTGAGAAAATGCGCTAAAAACAGTAAAACATTGTAAAAATGATTTTGTGGCCAAATTCAACCATTAGCAGGGTGACATCGGCAATCTAGGGTGTTTTAAAAATGATAATCAATGCAACTGAGTATTATAAAAATTGAACAAAACACAAAGATAAAACTCACATTTGTGAATCATATGCTTCATTAAGGCAGCTTTCTGTCAATTTCAATGGCAGCTGGATGTGAAAATTTGAAAAATCTAGTCCCCATTGGATTTCGATCATTCTTTAAAAAACCGATGATGCTTGATAGAGGTGCAAACCTTGAACTTACGTAAAGTGCAACCCTGTTTGTCAAGGTATTTTTTAAAAGTTATCTGTCTGTAAATAACTGAAATAAAATGTCCAATTTCCAATTTCTTGTAGAAATTTTATTTCAGTTATTTACAGACGGGTCACTTTGAAACTTGGTACCGTACACATATGTAAAAAATTAAATCTAAGACTTTTTTGTTTGTGTGAATTTTCTGAAAAAAATGAAAGAAAACGTGAAATTCTTTGAAAACAGCCAAAAAGGGGGTACTGTAGAAATCTATCTCTTCCTAGGATTTTCAAGCTACAACATCAAGACACATATCATTCGACACATAAGGACCACATCTATCGATTGGTCCTTGCTGTTTTTCAAAATTCTAATTTTTGAGGGTGGGGTGGACATTTTTCAAATAAATTTTGATTCCCCCTCACACCTTTTTGAATTCCCCCCCCCTTTTTTCAAAATATCTTCAAAACTATAACAAAATTGAAAAAAAGTACAACCAATCTCTAGATATTTTATTTGCAAATCAAACGGTATATCTCTCATTGCTGTAGCTTAAAAACTCTAGGAGGAGATAGGTTTGCATTGACAATAAGTGTGAATGTTCAGTAGAGCGCATCCCGAGCGCCTCGAAATAGGCATTCAAGGTGGCATGGCTACAAGACTAGACATTACTGGAGCTGAAATTCAGTCAAGGATGGTGAGAACGACTGCATGAGCACCATCCCACACGACAGCAGCCAGGTAACTAAAGATCAGCGTCTTCAGACCGTCTATTTATGCACCCAGCAGTAATTTTTGCCTATCTTAAATGTGAAAGAACTTCCCCACCCCTAAACCTTTTCCAATTTGTCATCAAGGCCTAAATCAACAACGTGCAGAGATGATTTTGGTACCATTGGATAGGTCAGAATGTCAGCTTTAACCCATTAATGCCAAGCCGTTTCATTTTGAACCAGCCGGAAAAATGGATTCATAATAAAATTAAATGATCAAATAAATATACAAGAGGATGCATAGGTTTGATACACATCTTGTACATGTTCTGGCAATGTTTGGTTCTTCTGTGCCAAATACTCCCTGTTCAGTCAACATTCAAAGATAATAAGAACCAAGTGTCAAACAGAATGGCTTGATATCATAGCGGAGAAAGATGAGTAATTTGTTCTAAAAATCAGGGTTGGCAATTTTTTTGATTTTTTTTAAAAAATCAAAAAAATCAAAAATCAATGATTTTTTTGATTTTTTCATGATTTTTTTGATTTATTTGATTTTTTTGATTTTTTCAGCTTTTTTGTCTTTTTTGAGGTGTTATTTTTTATGTTGCAATTAGCCTACTAACAATAACAGTATATGGATCATAATGGATGGCTAAAAAGGGCACTTATTGCCTTCAATAATAGCCAAAAGGCCAAGGTGGTGTTTACCATTTTGGGATTTTTGGGTAAACAATTATTGATCAGTCTATTCATTAGCCTTGTAAAGTTTGTATGGAGCAAGGTTATGAGCTAAATATTGACCATTTAACTGGCTTCAATATACAAAAACACTTCAGGAATGCAGATCTCCTAAACATTGAAGAGTCACATAACAGATAGGTAGATGATTGCACAGTGCACAGCACTAACAATAGATCTACTAGTTTTATGTCCTATAAATCTACCAGATTCTACCTTCTATACACACTGACTAGTAGTGACTGAGTGACTGACTGCACTGTTCCCATTTAATTCATACCAATAAACCAATACTAAACATAAACTGAACGATAACCAAACAAACCTCATACGACTTGAAACGAGACTTAAGTTATGAGAAAAGCTAACACTGTTTGAAATAAACATGTGCACAATTCAAATATTTTATATCCATTCACTGCATTTAATTATTTTATATATAGTCTTATAATTGTAATTGTTTTGTTTCTAGTTTTAAATTGCATATTTAAAGATTGAATTAGGGTGGAAAATCTTTCTAATTGCCTAAAAGGTCAATACAATCTCAACCTCTCAATATATAGGGTGGAGCAGAACCAATTGAGCAGTTTTGAGGTAAAATAAAAGAAAATTGGAGGTACATAAAGAAGAAAGTTTATTTTCCTAGAGGCTAGCATAACATACCATTTAGAATACTTATGTTTTGAAAACAATATCTGGAAGATGGGGGCTGTTAGCTGCAACACACTGTTGGAGTCGTTCTCAGAGGAGGGAGTAACCATGACAGTGAATTCCGATTGCTATGCTGCAATGTTGCAAAATTTCTTGCAGCCCATGATGGAAAACATTGTTAACATTGTTGAAATGAAGCATTGAGAGACGTGTGGTTCCAGCAGGATGGGGCTATAGCTCACAAAGCTTGAATGTCACTCAATGTTTTGAAACGCATGTTTCCCGGACGTCTGGTGTCTCTGAGGGGTGATTTACAGTGGCCTGCAAGGTCACCTGATTTGAGCATTTGCGATTTCTTTCTTTGGGGACATCTAAAAAAAAGGGGTTCAGAAGTCGCCCTCACACCCTACTACAGCTAAGGGAACAGAATATTGCAGAAGAGGTTATGGCCATACCTTGCCATGTGTGAACGTGCTGTAGGAAACTTCCGAGAACAACTCCAACAGTGTGATGCAGCTAACAAACCCCACCTTCCTGATATTGTTTTCAAAACATAAGTATTTTAAATGGTATGTTATGCTAATCATGAAAAAAATTAAGTTTCTTCTTTATGTACCTCCGTTACTCTTTTATTTCACCTCAAAACTGTACAATCAGTTCTGCCCCACCCTGTATAAGCTAGCTAACACATTTAAATTGTATATTGCAATCAAAATATAACAAATAGTCAAATAGTTAGACTACTTATAGCCTTATAAGAATTAGCTAAGCTGCTAGCTACGTACAATGTATTGCACTCTTGATGCCTCTGTACCAAGAACATTCAATTTATTGGAACCTAATACACACTAAAGGCAACAAGTTTATATACCAATTTGTCATTCATAGTACATTTATACTAAACCATGAATAACAATACCTCAATATAAATTAAAGACTACCACTCAATATTAATAAATATATGAAAAAATCAAAAAAATAAAAAAAAAATCATGATTTTTTTTATAAAAAAAAACAAGTGATTTAATCACATGATTTAATCATTTTGATTTAATCATTGCCAACCCTGCTAAAAATATATTATTCATGAGTCGGATGCAGAATTTTATTGATAAAGTAAGTACTTTCAATGCTGCATATGGTATTGCATGATACAAATTATACAATGTTTCTAAAGTTATTTAGATCATGAAATATATAGCCCAGTTCAAAATAAGACCAAGCTATAATTTTTCATTTACAAACAAAAATGAACATTTGAACATATTTTTTATTTATTACCTTCACAAGTGATAATATTCTCACATGAAACCAGAGAAAAATTCAGACAATAATTCTCTGCATTAATGGGTTAAGACTAAAAACCAGAGAAGTGAAATTTGCAATTTTCAACCCAGAAAATCAGGCGGTAAAGGGTTAATAAAACTCATACACTTCCTTGTGCAAAATATACCTACGGTATAGTTAAATGAGTGACACTGTGACAATATGAAGAAATGACATTAAATGTAGGCTATGATCATTGGAGCCTAAAGTTACACTGCTTAGTACTTATACAATAATTTTCATCCAATAAATAAACAAGCAAAAATTATACAGTTATGTTAGGACCAGCCACACAGAGAAGCCCTTCACAGCTCTCTTCCTCAAGTCCCCAGGGACCAATTACCAAAGGCTGTCAACATGACAATCTCAATTCATTATATTCCTTAATGCTGCAACAATATTAATTGAACATATAATTTACATCAAATATGGCAAGTATATATGTACATACATATATATATACCGGTATTATATAAAATTTAAAGCACTTTTACACTTGTATAGAATAATGGATGAGGTTATGTGTGATGTGAATATTGGGCTAGATTTTCCAAAAATTCTGAATAAAAACTTTTTTATGGGTATTTCCTAGAAATTATAGGCAAAAATGCCGTTTTTTTATTTCTTACTAAAGAAATTACATACTACCTATCATGTTGCTATGTTAGTATATTCAACTGTATTGTGTGTGAAATATTGCATATAATGCCTCTGGCAAAACTAAAGGATCTTTCCTTTGCTAAAATTGCACCATTTGTGGAGGCTGAGTGAGGCTGGAGCAGGGTTGGCAATAATTAAATCAAAATGATTAATATTATTATGTGATTAAATCACTTGATTTTTTTATAAAAAAATCATAATTTTTTTTATTTTTTCGATTTTTGTTGATTTTTTCATATATTTAAAAATATTGAGTGGCAGTCTTTAATTTATATTGAGGTATTGTTAATCATGGTTTAGTATAAATGTACTATGAATGAGAAATTGATATATAAACTTGTTGCCTTTATTGTGTATTAGGTTCCAATAAATTGAATGCTTTTTGGTACAGAGGCATCAAGAGTGCAATAAATTGTACGTAGCTAGCAGCTTAGCTAATTCTTATAAGGCTATAAGTAGTCTTAACTGTTTGTCTATTTGTTATATATTGATTACAATATACAATTTAAATGTGCTAGCTATCTTATACAGGGTGGGGCAGAACTAATTGAACAGTTTTGAGGCAAAATAAAAGAGTAATGGAGGTACATAAAGAAGAAAGTTTATTTTCCTCACAATTAGCATAAAATACCATTTAAAATACTTATGTTTTGAAAACAATATCAGGAAGATGGGGTTTGTTAGCTGCATCACACTGTTGGAGTTGTTCTCAGAAGTTTCCTACAGCACATTCACACATATGGCAAGGTATGGCCATAACCTCTGTTGCAATAATCCGTTCCCTTAGCTGTGGTAGGGTGTGAGGGCAACTTCTGAACACCTTTTCTTTTAGATGTCCCCAAAGAAAGAAATCGCAAATGCTCAAATCAGGTGACCTCGCAGGCCACTGCAAATCACCCCTAAGAGACACCAGACCTCTGGTAAACATGCGTTTCAAAACATTGAGTGACATTCGAGCTGTGTGACCTGTAGCCCCATCCTGCTGGAACCACACGTCTCTCAATGCTTCATTTTCAACAATGTTTTCCATCATGGGCTGCAATAAATTTTGCAATATTGCAGCATAGCAATTGAAATTCACTATCATGCATGGTTACTCCCTCCTCTGAGAACAACTCCAACAGTGTGTTGCAGCTAACAGCCCCCATCTTCCAGATATTGTTTTCAAAACATAAATATTCTAAATGGCATGTTAAGCTTACCTCTAGGAAAATGAGCTTTCTTCTTTATGTACCTCCATTACTCTTTATTTTACCTCAAAACTGCTCAATCGGTTAAGTATTGGTTTATTGGTCTGAATTAAATGGGAACAGTGCAGTCAGTCACTACTAGTTGGTGTGTATAGAAGGTAGAGTCTGGTAGATTTATAGGACATAAAACTAGTAGATCTATTGATAGTGCTGTGCACTGTGCAATCAGCTACCTATCTGTTATGTGACTCTTCAATGTTTAGGAGATCTGCATTCCTGAAGTGTTTTTGAATATTGAAGCCAGTTAAATGGTCAATATTTAGCTCATTACCTTGCTCCATACAAACTTTACAAAGCTAATGAATAGACTTATCAATAATTGTTTACCCAAAAATCTCTAAGTGGTAAACACCACCTTGGCCTGTTGGCCATTATTGGAGGCAATAAGTGCCCTTTTTTAGCCATCCATTATGATCCTTATACTGTTATTGTTAGTTGGCTAATTGCAACATAAAAAATAACACCTCAAAAAAGACAAAAAAGCTGAAAAAAAATCAAATAAATAAAAAAAATCATGAAAAAATAAAAAAAATCATTGATTTTTGATTTTTTTTTATTAAAAAAAAAAAATCAAAAAAATTGCCAACCCTGGGCTGGAGCTATGTCTATAAAATTATTAAAATGATTTTAAAATTTTGGCTTGTTATTAGAATTGGCACCATCCACTATGTTAGAATAATTATTACATCACAATGATCACATTGTATCATTTCACATTTGTATGTGAAACTTCAGGAATAAGTGATAAAAATTTGAATGAAAGGCAAAATATAGAACTTAATGCCAGTTAGGTTTTAGAATAAATTATATTTTTCAACATCTGATCAACCAAATAGCCTACTGTAGCCATAGGTCCAGAGTACCAGAGATAGGCTGATAGGGATTTAGGCTAATCACATTATGAAATGTATTTTTATTCCAAGAAGATGATCTTTGCACTAAAAACAGTGATAAATTATAACTACAAAGAATTTTTGAACACATTCATGACATATTATAGTAATTTTTATCTTGAATAGAATTTATAAACAAAACATTAACATGGATTGGCATTCCAATCTTGCCACAGCAACTACCTATCTCGATGCAGCCGCGCAGGTGGTTGGCCAAGAATAGAAACAGCAACTAAGGTTAAAAGCTTTCATGTTTTCTGGAAATTTATCATGATTTTTGAATGTATTAATCTAAAACACGTTTAAATTCGTGACACTGTGCAATAAATGAAATAGTAATTTCATTGATTACGAATATTTTTTGCGGAACCGCACAGCGAGAAGCTGCTGGTGGTTGCTCACCTGAAATTCCTTTTCGTACAAATCTTCCCCATCAATTCTTTGCTTTTCTATACTATCCACATGATTTATGAAATTTTGTAGAACAGTTCGTAGAGGAACCCGGCCCTTCCTCATCCCATGATCGAAGGCGGGGGCTGAATATAGCCCACGCCGTAATTTTTTGGTAATCCACCACTCGCTTAGCTACGCACCGCACTACACCGCATCACTTCTAACAAGGCACTGAGAAGTGAGAACTTGAAAAGCCAACGCCAAGTAGAGTTTCAGTGTACGCAAATGTGGACATGGCTGCAACAAACGCACATGAAGGAGAACTGGCTGCGATTCATGACTGAATGGCTGGTCGCAAGTGGCTGATGAAGGCCAGCGAAATTTTAACGTACTCCCGACTCTTCAGCTGAATGAAAAATTTCATTCAATGAAATCCTCCTCATGGCAATTAGTACGAGTATAAGTGCACAACCAATAACTAGAAATTTGAATTAGATATCTAAATTATCTACATTGCTAGTATTCGAGTATTTAGACCAGAACAAACGCACAATCATAGTTTAATATTGTATAAATAAAATAATGTTTACGCAGTTTACGATTCCCGAGTTACTTGAAGAGCGTATTTATTGATTGAGTTTTTTTTAATGAACGTTGAAATGAACTAGAAACTAATCAGTCAAGTAATACTAAAAGTTTTTTTTTTCTCGTCAGGTATCGATGGCTTTCGATTTTTTTCTGTACTGCTAAATCCCAAATTGTTTAGTATATATAGCTGACAACATCGCTGAACTGTGTTTTCAAGTTGTATACCTTCAATGGAAGCCACTCAATCACTAAAGATATATTTATAAATAAGGCAAAACAAGCAGAGATAGAAAATTTGGCATTCAACTTTGTACGTCTGAAATTTTATTACTCTTAGGAAAATTGTGCCTTGTGTGTGATTACGGATTGAATAATGAGGCGTGACAAGTAGGGAGAAGATTAAAAAAAAAATTATTCAGTCATCATTGATTTTTTACATTCTATAGTGTTGGCAACAACACTGATTTAATCATGTTGGACAAATCGAAAGTTGGAAACAAGTGTCCCCGCACGAAGTTGAAGGTACTCAATGCACTTGTCAGTGCCCACTGAAGGATATTCATGCAATTCAACAGAAAGGCCAAGTTCTCAATTCTTTACTTTTCAACAAGAATGACAAGGACGACTTAGATAACGTAGACATTTAATTGTAGGATATTTCGCTCATCCAACAGCCAGTATAAAAATAAATTCAAAGCTTTGTTACAAATGTACACAATATTCACACTCGTGTAATCGGAAATTTCGCAGTGTATATTGAAACATTTTTGAAACCTTAATATAGACGTAGAGACATTCACTGCTTTTCATACAAACTGTGGCCCACGAACGAAACTTTAATTTAATAAATTAATAGATTTACAAACTGAAATTCAGTGCACAAAAATACGACTAAATTTTCTGCCGTATATAGCAATGCGCACAAGAATATTTGCACGGAGCACGCATATTCGTGAGCTAGCAGTACGATTCCGTTCATATTATCAGGACCATAACATATATTATACTAGTATAGTTCAGCCGCAATAACATTCAAACATTACCGTATTGAAGATACAGGTACAGTGGCACGAATAAAGTAGCATGTATACAGGTATTGAGGTACGTTTGTCTCGTCATTGTACGAAGATGGTCTGTACTACACGGTTTGTGTTATAAGTCTTTGCATGTTACAAGATAATTATTTTTGTTACACGAAAGTTTTTCCTCAAGTGTGAAACTCATATGAAGAAAAAGTTGCGCGACTAAATTTCTCGAAATCAACACCGATTCTTCAACAACAAGAGAATAAAATTTCAAACGAACCAGCATGCTGGACCTGCCAAGAGAGAGGCAAGTTTGGCATCTCAAAGAGCAGATAAACGAAAAATGAGGCGAACAGAAGCAGACGAAGAAGAAAAACTTCGGTCAACAATAAAAAAAAACGAAAAAATATAATTGGTTAACAATAACAGAGATGAACATCATCAACGTCTTAACCCCGCAACCGCCCGGCACACAACAGCTTTCCATGCCCCCCAAAAACATGGAATTGAACCAAGCCTTAATGGTAGCATTTCCTTAACACATTTAATGCATTATAATTGCCTCATCACGCCGAGTGAACGACTGCTCATCACCGACTACTGCTCAATCCAAGCAATGAATGTGCAAAAATCGCATTATTTATTGCCTCTGCAGAAAGACAAACTTGTAGCACAAAATAAAACACTAAACAAATTACAAAAAAACTTAATTCCAAAGATGAAATAATTATACTTCTTTTGTACATTTTCTAACCCTGAATTACTTTCGTTAATTTGTTTGCAACATATCAGTAATTTACACATGATCGTAACTATTACGTACAGTCGTACACGATGCCACTACATTTCATTCTGAAACAATACAACAAAGGAGGTACTTTTATACGTCAACTGTGGTATTTAAATACAATAAGTAACTAAATAAATCAATTGAGCTTGGATCTTAAGCCAATCAAATTCCTAGCTGCCCGCGCTCGTATCTAAAATATATAAGCCTATAAAATGCAGACATAAACTTATAAAATAAATACGGCATCCGCTGAAGGTTCGTACAAAAACTTAATATCATAATAGCAAGTACTGGTTGATAATGCATGAGAAATTGTACACAGAATTACAAATGTAATGGGAAGTTCGTCATGTCTTCAGTTGCAGGAGAGGAGGCGAGAAGACATTATTTACACACGACTGAGAAACGCAGTCGTGAAATCACATGAGGAAATAAAGCTTCGAATGATCTTAATACAACATGGAGTATCAACAATGTTATTTGATTTAGAACTTTTCGTAAGCACCAGAGAGCACCAGGCAAGTAGTCAACTAAATACAGTTCTAGCTCAAAAACATGCAAGTTCTGATAGGCGGTCAAGAGGGAGTTAGAAATTACAAAAAATACAAGAGGAAATGGTGATACAAATACATAGATATACAAGAATACTATGTAGTGTTGATACAAATATATAAATATACAAGAATACTATGAAGTCAACCCCATAGGATTGTGAACTACTTGAAGCGCCCACTAGGCATCCAACGCTGAAATAACGTTGAATAAACAATGTTGAAATGACCTAGATTAAACGATGTTGAAATAATATTGATTATACATTGTTCCAAGTCACTTGCTAGCCGAAGAGGTTCTGCCTCTTTGGCCAGGAGGAGCAGTAACGTTCAATATAACGTCAAAATAACAACAACTTATTCAATAAGAGTAACGGAAGCGATAGATTAGCCTGTTAACATTACAACATAACGTTATAATGCTTCATCATTGACATGTGTGGAATATACTCGCACAAATATATATAACAGCAGAGCTGCAAAGCGAACTAATGTCGTAGTTAGCATTACCAGTTGAAGTAAATTCAGAAAAATGAATGGGTCACAATTTCAACATAGTGACCCTTTCATATCCACAGCACGAGCAAAGAGATGCCCTTGTGTCGTAAGAAACGGGGCCAGGCAAAATCAACACAATAGCAAGAAGTGCCTCGTTATTTGGACAATGTCTCACTCATTTCTCTGAGTGGATGTGGTCTTATGAGCAGAAATAAATTAAAGTGAATGATGGCCCTGATATTAATCGTAACGATGGCTCTGACAAAGTTACATGACATATAATCACTGAAAATCATGACTGAGCAGCTGCACTAGGTGACACAGTTTAAAAAAGGACGATCGTGATAATCTAAGTTGACATGAAGCAAAGAATTTCAGATATTCTGATTGAGTATTCGATTTCTATGGACAGTTTGGCAGGGAAGAAAAGCCCAGATAAATATTTCCGAGACAGAGAAAAAACATCGAACAAAACATGTGATATGACAGTAACAGATGATCTCTTTCATTAACGTTATAAATGCAACGTAGATTTTAACGATACAAATAAAACGTAGATTTACGATGACGATATTCTCTTCAGGCGTTCAGTAGAAAGTTCTGCTGGTAAGAGTCCACGCTAAAGACCTGCAAGTATACATACGGTGAGACTCTCAATCGGAGCATTTAATAGAAAACTTCTTCTCTTAATCGGAGAATTTAATACGAAACTTCTTCTCTCAATCGGAGAATTTAATACAAAACTTTTGAAGAAATTTTGAAGCAGAAAAGCATCAGCAAAAAAAAAAGAGGCTTCAATAATTCTGTGATAACGCGAGAGGGAGTATCGAGGAACTACTAACAGAAATCCAACAAAAGGTTACATAAAATATTGAGTAAATTTCAATTGAAGAATTTGTCTCAACCTAAACTCTCATTGTCTTTCATGAATAATTTTGTTACGTTTACTAAATCAGATTATATATTGAGCAAGAATATAACCATCATGAATATAGGAATCTTGAGGCACTCTTTACTATAATATATGGTATTACCATAGTCTTTATCATATTATATGCTATTCTCATACTCTATTGTATCATATGTGCTAATGTGGGACTGTTTAATATGCAATTATATGAAAATTTTATATGAAATATATATATAATTAATTATACTGTTTATTTAATTTTAATATTTTAAATTATACTGTTTAATTAATAATTAATCAATTATACTGTTTAATTACAGGAATATACATTACCTGATCAGTCGCCCCAGTAACGGCCTGTGCAGCGCTGCCATCCTCGTCAGGATCCAGCAGACCTCTGCCGCCCGTTATAACGGTGCCGTTACTCGAGATAACGGTACCGTTACTGGCGAGCACGGTACCGTTACTCGAGAGTATGGTCTCATTACCGGCCATAACGGAGTCAGATTCAGCACCCATTATGATGACGTTGGTGGTGGATGAACCATTAGAAACATCATCGTTGTTGACATCGTCGGATGTTGTGACCACGCAGTTACCTCCACTCAGGGTAGACGATGGGATAATTGACCCAGCAGGATAAATAACGGTGGTATCCTGAGGAGATGTGCAGGAGGAAGGATGGTTGTGGTTGCTGTGGTGGTGGTTGTTGTTGTTGTTGGTGTGGTGCTGGGGTGCGGAGGTGATGTCATGATGTTGGTTGTTCGCGGCACCATTGGTAATGAGCGTGCCCTGTACAAAGTTTAATTATTACAAACTATGCAATACAGAGCCTAAAATACATTATTTACTTAGCATCATAGTACAAAAGACGATCAATAAAAGCATCATAACAAAAAATATATTCAGGACACAACAGATCATGAACACAGCGAGATCTTTGCGTCGATTTTTTTTTACCATTTTTGATGAGGAAAAAGCTTTTCTTGAAGCTTCAATATTGAAAACAGCAATGTTGACATTTGAGGTATAAATATATGTATGTAACATAGGAACTGAAGTGACGTACGAAAAAGGGAATTCTTGAAAAATTGTATTGCAACAATATTAAGTCCAGAGTTCATCTCAATTCAATACCGCACATTTCAACTAATCCACTACATGTACCCAAAAGACACCTGGAGTTCTACCACGTGTCGATTAGTTGATACTTCAGAAAATAAACTCAACTTATTGTGCTTCTCGCCTTCTTTATGCAATATTCGTTTAGAAATAAATACGTCAAAGAATAAAACACAAGCCCAACATAGTATAGTAGAGCCCATTCATAGTATTCTTGAATATTTATATATTTGCATCAATACTTCATAGTTTTCTTGTATATCTATGTATTTGTATCAACATTTCCTCTTGTATTTTACTTTAATTTCTAACTCTCTCTTGACCGCCTATCAGAACTTGCATGTTTTTCAGCTAGAACTGTAATTAGTTGACTCTTTCCGTGGTGCTCTCTGGTGCTTACGAGACCTACACAAGTACATGAGAGTTTTTTTGCCGAGTCTTTAGATAAAGAATTAGTTTTAATATAAATCTGGTGAGAGTGGTAGACTGGTAGTGGTAGTCACAATACCTGTCTGGCGGTGGTGATGGACCGTGCCGAGGAGTGAAGGGCAGGAACTATTAAAATCTTGAAGCCACCTTCAGAATTCAAGCCTGGAGAATCGCTAATAACGATGTTTTGTTGGCCGCCGCTGCCTTCCAGACTCTGCATGAACTGTGGCAACACAATCATCAGTGAGACATTATTGCTTGTCACTTAAGCTTATGAGACAGTGCATGGCTATTACAATCATACTGAAATTTATGTCAGAGTAACAACAGACATCTTCGAGTCTTAAGTACACAGATATATACATTAACATTTTTGCATGACTCGTGCACACACAACTCCACCACACAAACAATAATACATGTTGATGCTGATATGATGAACGCTCACATACTTCACTACATCGTCACCACACTCCAACCTCAAAACATGGTACGTATACCCACACCACCAGTACCACACTCTTACCTCAACATGATGTACCCACACCACCAGCACCACAATCTTACCTCAACATGATGTACCCACACCACCAGCACCACACTCTTACCTCAACATGGTGTACCCACACTACCAGCACTACACTCTTACCACAACATGGTGTACCCACACTACCAGTACCACAATCTTACCTCAACATGGTATACCCACACTACCAGCACTACACTCTTACCACAACATGGTGTACCCACACTACCAATACCACACTCTAACCTTGATGTGGTGCGTGGAGGGCACGTTTCCTTGTCTGATGAAGTTGATGGGCTGGAGGTGAGTGTGCTGCCCACTGTTATCCACGATCCCTGCCGAGCTCACGCACACCGAGGACCCCACAGACCCCTGCTGCTGTTGGTTAAGTTGCCCCGTTATGCCAGTCACGGTACCGTGACTCCCGGTCACGGTAGGGTTACTCGTCGTCAGGATGTGATGCTGGGAGGTAGACGAGGTCATGGGTGAGTTCAGGTGATGGGTGCTGCTAGATGAGGTAATGAACAGCTGGCCACCAGACGACAGCTGGACTCCCCCAGATGGAGAAGTCATTGTTAGCTGTGAGCCTCCTGAGGGAGAGATCATGGACAGCTGAGAACCACCAGCAGCAGCTGAGGAGGAAGACATGGTGAGTAGCTGGGCGCTGCTGGTAAGGTTCATGGAGAGCTGGGAGGAGTTGGAGTTATGATGCTGCAGGGGGGATGGAGCAGGGTTGGAGTTGTTGGCTGACACAGCAACTCCAAGTATGGCGGTCAGGGACTGCTTGTTATGCGTCTGCAGATGTCGTTTCATGTCAGACCGAACCCTGAAGGCTCGGTTGCACTGAGGACAAGGATGAGGCCGTTCACCTGCAACACGTATTAATGTTAAGGGGAGCGTCTGGGCAAAATTTTATCTCGGCTGTTTACAGACGGATCACTCTGAAACTTGGTACACATATGTGAAACTAGAAAAATAGACAGCATTTATTCAAATCACTTGGCTGCTTAAGTCGCAAATTTACCAGGAATTTAAAAGCAATGAAAATAGCCAAAAATTTCACCATTTCTTATAAGAGAAAACGTTTATAAGGTCACGTCAAACTCTCTCTAAAACAAAATGAAAAATATACATCCTATCCAATCCCTTACAACAGAAATAAAAATGAGATGACGTGTAGAGAAATTACTATCTATTTACTATTTGTAGAGGATAGGAACTGAATGCAGCATTTAAACTGGGTTTCTGTTGATTCTAAAATTCGTAGGTCAGAAACACCGGTTGTGGAGGCTAAAACTCTAAAATTACTATTGGACACCGAGACGTTGCACTGCTCGGCATTAATACGTACGGCTGAATGAGGGGGATGCGCAAGTATGTTCCCTGTTCTATAACTCCTGCCCCTATGCTCTGCAAGCCTAGTATAAAAATTGCGTGATGTCATACCGACATACGCAGATGCGCACTGCGCACAACTATATTGATAAACTAGGGATGATCGCATAAGAACAGGGAGAGGATCTTTGTACTTATAAGAAATGGTGAAATTTTTAGCTATTTTCTTTGCTTTTAAATTCCTAGCATTTAGTCATGTCCATTTTTCGAAAAAAATGAAAGAAAACGTGAAATTCTTAGAAAACGACCAAAAAAGGGGGTACTGTAGAAATCTATCTCCTTCTAGATTTTTGAAGTTACAGCAATGAGACACGTACCATTCGATTCGCAATCAAAATATCTATAGATTCGTCGTAGCTTTTTTTGAATTTAGAATTTTTGTGGATGTGGGAGCATTTTTCCCAAAATTTTCGAAAATTTTTAGATTTTCCCCAATTTTCCTTCCCTTTTTTCAAAATATTTTCAAAACTATAACGAAATTGAAAAAAAGCTACGACGAATCTCTAGATATTTCAATTCCGAATCGAATGGTATATGTCTCATTGCTGTAGCTTCAAAACTGTAGGAGGAGATAGGTTTGCAGTGACAATAAGTTAATTATTCAGTAGAGCCTGACAAAGTCCCGGGCGCCTCGAAATAAGCGTTCAAGGTGGCAAGAATGCAAGACTAGGCGATACTGGAGCTCAATTCCTGTCAAGGATGGTGTGAACGACGACACGCAAACCCTCCCGTACAACTGCAGGCGAATAACTGAAGCACATCGTATGTGGACTAGCTATTTAAGTATGCTACCGGGAATTTTCGCCTATCCTAAATGTGAAAGAACTCCACCACCCCCCACCCTTTCACGATCTGTCGTGAACGCATAAATCAACTTACAGAGATGATTTTGGTACCGTTGAATAGAGCAGAATGTCAGCTTTTAAACGAGACTAAAAACAGGAAAAGCCAAAATTCAAAAATTTTGGTCCAATTTTTAGTCGTGAGGTGACATAGGTAGAAGAGAAGCCCAAAACTTTATTTACCTAGTTAGATGTGGTAATGAATTGCAAACCCATTTTATAACCGCATTATTTCCAGTAGTTAGCAATTAGACATTATGAGGCAAATAATCCCTTATTCTATAAAAGCTGCGAAAGACAACTTGTTTAATTATATTTTATTCTCAATTTAATTCTTCATTCATAAGCATTTTACCAAGTGTGCTTAATAATTTAATCCCTCTTCATTACATTTTTACTCAAGACTTATGCATCCAAAATATATAAATTCTAAATCGAATTAAAGAAGATTGTTAACTCTTGTCAGACTGCCTAATAATTTTGCAACGTTACAATCGTACGTGTTACATTTGTCCATAACTTGTCTAACAAGGGTAAATGATAAATAAAAGTTACATAAATGCTCATCTAGTAAGAGAAGAAAATTAGCTAATGCAAAATGTTGCAAACGTAACATGTGTGCGTGAGGAGGTGCAAGTGTAAAATGAACCAAAAAATGCGTGACAAACTCGAAATGAATGAAGCAGAACCTGCCGAATGCGAAATCAACCAAAATGAACATGCAAAATTCGAACTGAACCAAATGAAACCTGCCGAATAGGAAATCAACCAAAAGGACATGTAAAATTAGAACAAAGAAGGAGAAAAATATAACTCAGTACTCACTGCAGTGAGTGACAGAGAGCGCATTTTCTCGTTCGTCCGTCCATGAAGTCACGGACAGACAGACGGACTGACATGGCAAGCACAATAGCGTCTTTTTTCCTTAAATGAGAAAATGCGCTAAAAGGAACCTGCATGAACGTGGAACCTGCAAAAGGAACCAGTTTGAGTACGTGAAAAGAACCCACACTGACCGGTATGAGTGAGAAGGTGGTTCTGAAGGTATGACGCGGCACGGAACGACTTCTGGCACTGCTCACACTTGTAGTTCTTCTCGTTGGTGTGGATGCGGCGGTGGACCACGAGGCAGTACTTCCGCTTGAACGCCTTGCCGCAGTACTCGCACTGGAACGACCTGAGGGTATGTGATACTTTATTGCAGTGCTTTACCATGCGGTACTTTAAAGCGGCGCTTTAGTGCGCAGTGCTTTATTGCAGTGCTTTACCATGCAGTACTTTAAAGCGGCACTTTAGTGGGCAGTGCTTTATTGCAGTGCTTTACCATGCGGTACTTTAAAGCGGCACTTTAGTGGGCAGTGCTTTATTGCAGTGCTTTACAATGCAGTACTTTAAAGCGGCACTTTAGTGGGCAGTGCTTTATTGCAGTGCTTCCACTCATGCTACTTTTACAGTTAGAAATATATTTTGGTTCTGTCATACACTTCGGTTCAGAATAATTCAGTGAGGAAAATACTTTCAAACTTGAAATTCTCACTGTGCGGAAGACACTTTTATACTGTGAGGATTTAAAAGGGAAAGCTTGACATTTGCGCAATAAGGTTATCATATTTTAGAGATCGCTTCATTTTTGTATACTGGTAGAGTAGGTAACGGAGATGCATGATGCCATCAAGATCAAGTGGTGGCTAATACTATTAGTGAAACGAATTTAGTTATCTCTGTCAAACAATTCCTGCACTGGTCATAAGTGAAGCTATTTTCATTTTTGCATTTTTCAAAAAACGCCGTAAAACGGTCTGACTGGCATTTTAGTGGCCAACTGGCTACAACGACGCTGTTTTTTCCGATGTAACACAAGAAACCTGTACCACATTTGAAGAAAAACGGCGATACCGTTTGTTTTCCTTGTGCGAATGTCCACTAGATCGCCGGTGAGACCGTTTTTTCACTGATATTTCGAACAATGCACGAAACCTACTTGTTTTCCTCACTAACCTTTCATCAGAGTGCACCGACGTGAGATGGTATTTAAGGTCGCCATATTGCCTGAAGTTTTTGCCACACTTCTTGCACTCGTAAGGCCGCTCCCCGGAGTGTACGCGCAGGTGCACCTTCAGGGCACTCGCAGCAAAAAATCTCTTGTCGCACTGATTGCAGGGATGTGGTCGTTCTCCTGTGATAATAGGGGCATGTTTAGGATATAATAAATAATAATAAATAATAATAAATATCAACATAATTATGCCACAAAAGACCTCTTGTCACATTGATAACATAGATGTGGTCGTTCTCCCGTAATAATAGAGGCAGGTTTAGAATATAATAATTTGTAGTTTTCAGAGAATTAATGATAACCTCATTAACTCTTGAGAATAACTTTTCAAAACCTCAATATATCTTTAGTCATTACTTTGTTCATTTTAATCACAGTCCAAAACTTGTTGATTCGATTATCAAGAAATATAACTCGAAATTCTGAATCAACTATCGGTTTTCAAATAAGTGCTAAAATGATTTGATATCAGAAATGAAAGAATAACTCACCTGTGTGACCTCGCATATGATAGGTCAAGGAATTCTTGTGCTGGAATATCCTGGGACATTCACTGCACTGATGGCCGCCCTTAGCAGCCTTGGTCGTCTTGGAAGATTTCTTCTTACTTGTAGAGGTGGCTTTAGGTGTGACGCCCGCAGGAGTTCTGGCGACATTAGTGGAGCCTAATGGGCTGGTGTTTAGGGGTTCCTCTTTGTGTTCGTGTTTACGGTGCGTGGCGAGTTTGAGGCGGCTCTCGAATGCCTGCAACACTCAATTGTATAAAACAGAGTCAGGCCAGCTTCTGATACATGCAGACATCCCTTCTGTTTGGGTAACATTCAAAGAAGTATTTCAAATACTGCAACAAAGTTCAATAAGAATATAATTAATAGTGGAAGGTTGTACTCAGATGAGAGCTGTTAGCATTGGTAGATGACTAATATTCGAGAAAGCAGTACAAAAGCCCAGGTGATTGGGCATTGCAATTAATTTTCATCTGACGCCTGTCGTCATTAAGACAATACAAGATATCACATATCCAGTTTTAGCGCTCTAGATGTTAGGGTTCTACAGAATCATTACAAGATGCATTATTCTTGGTTTGAAGACATGTGGTTAGCAATAACTCAATAAGCATGGCTTGCAAGTGAAAGTGCAATACGAGACGTACCTGATAGCAGTCTTCACAGTTGTACTCAGGAGGATTGTCAAAATGATCAGTTGAGACGTGGCAGTCGAGAGCAACTTGGTTATGGAAGCTTTTGGGACACACAGAACACGTATATACTTTCTCCTCCAGTTCACTTGAATCAAACTCGTTTGAGAAATGCTCAGAATTCACGTGGTTAGTAAGAAGCACTTCTTTCCGGAAGGTTTTGTTGCAAATCTTGCACTGAAAGTGTTCCCGTTGGTGAACCTGAGAATGTTCCTGCAGTCCAATGGGTGTGTCAAACTCGCCGGTACATACCTCACACTTGTGCTTCTTGGCAGGCTCGTAGTGACTTTTGAGATGCTCAAAGAATTTTAGCTGTAAATCAAAAGATTTGTTGCACAGCTCACAGATATGACTCTTGGTCTTGGTTACTTGCAGCGCGTGGGCCTGTTTGTGCTGTTGATATTGCTGAAAACTTGTCAACTGCTCATTGCATGTTGAACATTTATAACATTTGGTGAGTTTCTTGGAATTCTTTAATTTTTTAGGTATACGCTTTTTATGAGGAAGGGATTTCTTTCCATCAATACCATATGCAACAGAATCATCCATGTCCTCATCATTAGAATTATCTACGTAATCAATGTCATCCAGTATCATCCCAGAGTCAATATCACTGTGTTTAATCTCAGTCTTGAAAACAACTTCGCCGAGAATTTCATGATCAGGATAGGAAGGTGTGACATCACAGGTCTGCTGGTTGTAGCCCTGCAGTTTATGGAGGGAAGGGGATTGTGTCCGCTGAGTTGGTGTGGATGAGTGAGAAAACTTTATAGGATCTTCATCATCAATATCGTCCGAGTCTTCTTTGTGGACCTGATTGTTGACATACTCAACATACTCTGGTCGTCGTCTGATGATACGACCACTTCTAGACATCAGCACAGACGAGTTTTTGTTCATGCCGCTATTATTGTTATTATTATTATTATTGTGGACAATGTTTACATTGTTAGAAGTACTGCAGGTGGCACGAACCAACTGCTGTTGCTGTTGTGGCTGCTGCTGTTGTGGTGCTCTTGGTAGACTATTGGGAGTCATTGAATTAGATTTCTGCTGCAGCCGAATTTGCTGCTGTGATTGCCAAACACGGAATTGATTGCTGTTCTTTAATGCCTGCTTATGATTGACTTTTTGTACCATGAATTGAGGTGCTTGTTGAAGACCATCACATGAATGAGACTGTGGTTGCAAGGAAGCATGCTGGTCTTGCTGCTGCTGCAGTGGTTGTTCACACTCCATGGCCGTCATTTGGTGCAAGACATTGAGGTCTTGTTGCACTTTATTAGCATTTGTATTATTATTTGTGTTATTAATATGTTGCTGCATGACAGAGCTCTCAGGCAGAAGCTTCATAGGTACACGCTTCTGTTGCAGATGCATTGCAGGCTGCGGGTGTAGCTGCAGCACAGGAGATGTGTGAAGCTTCTCATACGTATGATTGTGGTGCAATGTTTGGGAAATGCCCTGTTGAGGAGGATTGTCAGGAATATGTAGAGGATCAGAATTTTTATCCACATACAAATTGTTCAACGGATCAGATTCCTCTTGAGAATTCACAGGGTGGAGTCTGAGTTGCTGTAATTGTGTCATTGGCACGTGCTGCTGCTGAGGTAGGGTTTGCTCCTGTAACAATTGCTGGTCGTCACTGAGCAATTGTAAATTTCCATTGTGAAATAATCTAAAGGAGTCCATTTGATTAGGCTCAGAAGTCATGGTCATAGCATACTGTTTAGATCGTCCCTGGTCCATCATCTTTCCGTTACCACCAATCCTGAAGTCGTCATTCATAAGATTCTTGTGGTTTGACATTAATTGACTTTGCGTTAACTTGAAATGGTTATGTGGGAGGGAAGACTGAACAGCTTGGTGCTGCCTCTGCACATCCTGTTGCCTCAATAGAGCGTTCATGCCATTACTCCCTGATTTATTGATGATTTGCTGGCCTTTCATGTGCTGATCTACAGTATGGTGAACTTGCACCTGCAGAGTGTCATCATCCAACAACACTGACGATGCTCGTTTACCAACATCATAGCGAGACTTCCTGAAGCTTCCTAAGTCAGCTAAGTCTGGATCATTGCTGTCTATTGAATTGATGGAGTTGATGGTAAGCATTTGATGTGTAGTCATATCAGCACAATCATCTGTGCTGGTAGGTGTGCTGCCAGCATCTGCTACATCACCAGGAGTAGAGCTAGACCCAGCATTGGCGGCATTAGAATGTTGAATGAGGTAGTCTGTGTAAGCTCTTTCTAACAGCTGAGATTTAGGAGTTTGATATTCTTGCTTGTGATGAGAAGACCCCACTACACCACTTGTTGCAACTGTGATGCCACCATTGCCTGCATTGTGCAGGTTCAGTATATGGTTTGATTGACTGATGTTAGTGGCATTATTGTTAACATTACTAGAGTTGCCCTGGGATATGGCCACTAAATTACCTACACTGCCACTGCTTGACGTTATCTGCTCAAAATAAATGTTGGGATCATTCATGTCCACGAAAGAAACATTCTCCATTGTATCAAGAGCATCAGAAAATTTGGGGCTGTTTTCACCTTCAAGTGGCACTTCTGAACTCATATATTCAAGAGTGTCATATGCATTGTGACTTTGTGAATTATTGCTGAGGTGGTGATGGTGGTGGTGATGGTGATGTTGCTGGTGATGAGACATTGAGCCAGTGCTTAAATTAAGAGAGTTATTTGGGGCGAGATTCATGTTAGCCTCACTTATATTGACTTGATTTGTAGATAAATTAATGGAGTTATTAGAGGATAAATTGATGGTGCCGTTGTTAGAGAGATTTATGGAGCTGCTGATGGAGTTGTTGGAGAGGTTTGAGTGAGGAGGGTCAACATCTGACGTGAGAAGCAAGCTGCTTGAGTTGCCACACGAGTTTGATATGCTGGAGTTACTGGCACCTGCAAAAAAAAAAAACTGTTAATCTCTCAATACTAAGCTACCTCCATAACATGTAAAAAAACTAAAAATTATTGTTGCACTAATATAATCCAAGTTTTAACAAGAAGAATAATAAAAATTTTATTTGTTAGTGAATTTATGTACCCAGCATGAGACGAAGTGAATATAGGTAATACTCACAGAATTCAAATATTTTTTTACAATGTCTGTAAACAAATTAACTTCATTTATGTTATTTATTGACACTGCAAGTCTCTGGATAATTTGGAAAGAATATAAAAATCATTTGTATACCTATATCCATCATCAATTGACCATTTTGAGAGTGAATATATATAGTTTTCTGAAGATGACTCATGTTTTTCTTCAAACATTGCATTGGAATTAGTATTAGAATAACAAAATAAATTGTTTTGGAGAAGAAATTTACCATGGAAATATATTTGAATGCAAAACAATAAGAAGGAAAACAAAAGGCACAAACCTGAGGAGTGATGATGCCTATCATCGGCTGCTAGAGTGAGATAAGAGGAGGCTGGTGGCATGCCTCCCACCACACCAGAGGTCCCGTTACCTCCTTCTGTACATAGGCTAGAACTGTCCCCATCTTCAGGACCAGGTCTGTCTCCACCAGAGTTCAGGTCTAATGGACTGTTGGTCTGATGGTCCATCACAAGACCAGGGCTGGCGTCAAGAGGACTGGGGGTGTGACTCATCATAGCATTTCTGCCTCCAGTCACGAGCACCAAGCGAGATTGGTCTATCTTGCGAGACATGTCAGTTCTGTTCAGCTGGAACATTTTACTGTGAGTCAGTATCCTTTGTTCAGAATTATTGAGATTTGGCTCTACCATCCTCATTGAATTTAGAAAAAAACTGACTAATCAATCAACTTAGCAGCACCTAACAAGTCATTCATATATTTATTCTGTAGAATTCACAGCTTCTTTAATATTTGAGATAAGAAACCCTGAAAATAAGACAAATAATGAGGAAGTATACATATATATTATACTAAGCAAGTACTGTATTATACATATACGAGATGGATGAACTTCATACGTACCATGAAGTAAGAATAAAGTCAACCCAAGAACATCTGATCAGAAATATTTACTAATATATTGAATCTCCAGAGCCATGCATATATTTAATATTAATTTCACATTTTTTGGCTCAATCATGTAGTTTATAATGTTACATAGGAGACATATCTAGCAGAGATCTTGCAGGAAAGCTCAATTGCATCTTAGAAAATAGATATTTTCTATGCCTGAACACATCAGACAACAACCACTAAAATGGAGGAGCTCAAATAGATCCAACTGAAACAATGGATCTGGATTGTAGTGTAGAGAAGAAATCTTACCAAAATAATGTTATGGAAAGTTCACCTATTGTAATCCAAGGTTGAATTTGTGAGCTTAAAGTGTTACAACTATAACTGGTAATTGATAGCCAAAACTACCTCAGCCCTAAAGATGCTTGTTTGAATATTAACCTTCCAGAATTTGACTCTGCCAGGCCCTAACACACAAAACTTGAAAGTCAGGCAAAAGCTACCAGTATATATGAAAAAAATACATGAACTTGTTAACATTTTTTCCCATTCTTATGTCTCCATCTTAATTTCATACAAGAAAATTTAGAAAAATGTATATTTTAGCCTGCATTAGTTTTTAAAAGTCATCTCAAAAATAATCATTTCTTTATACATTTAAAAAATTGAAACCATAACTCTCAATATATCAACTCCCACACAGGAATGGAATAAATATATACATTAGTGTTCCAACCAAAAATTATTTTGGATTTTTGCTGGTCTCTTGGGCCAGATTTGTTAACCTACATAGGGAGAAGCAGAGAACATAAACCTAAAATTTTAATAATCCAACTCCATTTAGTGGTTGCAAAATGAATTTTGAGTTCATACAAATGAAGCTTAAATCAATTCCAGTAAGTTGCTAATAAAGTACAATTGGTTTAGTCACTTGAAATTTTATCAATAATAAGAGATTTCTTGGACACAGGAAACAGTTGGAAATGACATGCAACGACCTGAAGCAGGTACTGCTCTCATTCCTCTTTGTTGGCCAACTTGTAGTTGCAGTTTGTTATCAAAGAAATACTACGTTCTGCATCACCATTTACAATTTTTAGCTCCTGCACTTTTTGGCAACTGATGCAGTACTATTCAATGCTGTTCCAGGTGTCAGGCTCCTGCTGTAGGAAGTCAGTTTTAATTTGCATTGACCCAAAAACTTTTGTGTGTTAGCCGAGATGGAGTTTGACAGAGTCAACTCAGACACAGTTCTATCATCCAGAGATACAACTCTAGGTGCAGGAATGTTTTTACTGGGTTTTGACAAGACATGTTTTTGTGGCACACATGCCACAACAATTAAAAAGTAGAAACTCCTTCATAAGAGCCGTTTATGATAATAAAGTTTTTTGTCTCTTGTAGTCATTTCCGCCCTACAAGGTAATAAGGGACACCTTCCAAAATGCATTTACAGTGGAACCTTGGTTAGCAAAGGCTCCAGTTAACAAAATAATCAATTAACAACAAAGAATTTTGATAACATTTACCTTGCTCAATAAAAATAATTTCACTTAACAAAAAATTAATGCCTTATTGGTCATCACAAAATTGTGCAGAGAAAGTCATAGATAGAATTATTTGCCAGGCAACATAACATGAAAATTAATTAACCAAAACTATGATTTTTTCTCAAAAAAATATGATGGTTGTCACTCAAATATTCTTTTCTGTTTCAGTCATGTTTTTCCTACAATCTTTTTTGCTATAGTGAATTATCTTGACTCAATTAAAATGGTGCAAAATTACAAGCCATCCTGTAAGCTTAGATACAGAAGAAATGCTACATAGCTGCTTATTTGAAGCTTGCAGTGAACAAGGTTGTTGTCAACGCTCAATGGCAAGTCCATGGATTAGGTAATATCACATCAATAATACGGTAATGTATGGATGAGGTAATATCATATCAATAAAGGAAAAACAAGTAAAAATCACAGAAAATATCATTTATTCTACATCTACATCATCTACAGAGGAACAGGATGATTTCAGATTACTGTTAGTAATGGATGAGTACACTCTGCATGCTTCAAACATTTTAAAATTAATTTCATTTCAAGTGTCCCTTATTACCCCATTCCCAGGGTTAGTTCAGAAGGCTTTTATTTTGCGACTGGCACTTTACAAATACAAACATATGGAATTTTTTCAGAGAAGCCATACAATAGCCCTTGCAAATACCTTTAAAATGAGCCCAAACTTGTAATGTTTCAGGGTAAGAAGTTATTAACAAAAAATGCTCAAAACCGTCCCTTATTACCCCATTTGATGGTATACTATTTTTGCCCTCCCACAGGCTCTGTGATAGTCACTGGGAGCTTTAATATGAACATCTTTTGGCTCATTACTAAGAAGAATATCATAGCCAACTTCCATAATTCTTTGTAATCATCTCTTGGCTGGATTATGATTATCTGAAGATGATTTTGACAGAACTCATTAATAGTAGATTCAGTTCCTGGCTTCAGTATTACTGAAACCATTTTATCATTTGTACTACTTTCAGGTTTTGATTTGTTTATCTGACTCCATGCTTGTGAAAACCATTCAAACAGCTTTATACTCGGAAAATCATTGTTGGCATTTTTGCAACCTATGGAAGTAAGATTTTTGAATCTACTTAGTGGATTGCAATTTGTGTATGTTGCATTGTATACCTGTATTTTCTATTGTTTCACTCTGCCAACTCCAACAAAATGCAGACTTGCTCCAACTTGCTACATTGCCAATTGACACTTGTTAAGTTATACTTCATTCTGAATACCGTAAAACGGGGTAACTTTGACCACTTTTTTATTTCGAAATAATGCCATTTTTTTACTAGATAAGTTAAACTTAAATTGAAATGTGCAAAATACAGGTCCATACTCTAGCTTTACTCACCATAAATTGCTGGCTCCTGCCTCTCATAGTTTTGATGTAAATAAAATTTGTCTTTTGCATATGTAACTAGAAGAGTTCTACTACAATGCATCAAATCCTGGAGTTATTTTACCAAAAAATAAAAAAATTGGAGGGGGTACTCTGACAGGCTTTAAATAATAGCTCTTTTTCGTGGGTCACATTATTAATTTTTCAACCTATTAGATATGCAAACTTTTTAAATCTTTCTATTGTGTTACGTAGCCTCCGTATTAGGCCTTTGATGGCCATTGACAAAATTTTTCTATGTCAAATCGTTTTTGAGTTTTGGGGGTTTTTGTTAAAAAACTAAAAGTGTCAAAGTAACTCCGCCGGTCAAAGTAACCCCATTTTACGGTATGAAATCACAAAAAATATCCAAGTTTAAGATTATTTAATTGAAGTTAACTTTAAATTTAATATGGGAAATTTTAGGTGACCATTTGTTATTTAACTTTGATCTAAAATTTAAATATTTAAATTCCTAACTTTGGTGAGTCAGAAGTTTTGTCTCAAGAAGTCACCCCTCCCTATCTCCTAAGGCGGGAACCAAAACCGGGCTCCCTTCGGCAAGACCAAGAAGTACAGCCAATCCTACAATTGTTTAATTGCACTCTGTTCATAGTAGATGAATTATCTCCCACCCTATTATTAATGAAAGTGCATATTTATATCATGATATATGAAATTATTACCATCAAACGGGGTAAAAAGGGATGGTTTTGAGCGTTTTTTGTTAATAACTTCTTAGCATGAAACATTTCATAAACAAGTTTAGGCTCATTTTATAGCTCTTTGCGAGGGCTATTGAATGGCATCTTCAAAAAATTCCATATGCTATTTATAAGGTGCTTGATGCAATATAAAAGGCTCCTGAATTTATCTGGAAATGGGGTAAAAAGAGACACTTGAAATAAAACTCAATTTTAAACGTTTGAAGCATGCAGAGTGTGCTCACATATTACCAGCAGTACTCCAAAGTCCTCCTTTTCCTTTTAGATGTAACATAACAACAAGGGGCTCAACAAGCTTCTTTAGGGAGTGACCATTGCATTCAGTGACCTGGATGTTAGGAGTTCTGCCTAATATCCAGGCTCTTCTGCTCCTCAAGAAGATTTTATTTAAATTTAAATTTAGATTTTTGCTTAAATTGAAAATTTAAGCAAAAATCTTTGCGATTAACTCATACGGTATTTATCTTAACTCTGGCCTTTGCTAACATAGGATCTGCTGTAAACATGCTTTAGGGTTGTCCCTAATTACCCCAAGGGTTGTCCCTAATTACTCCGGGGGGTGTCCCTTATTACCACGGGGGGTGTCCCTTATAACCCCGGGGGGTGTCCCTTATTACCCCGGGGGGTGTCCCTTATTACCCCGTTGCATGGAAATGGCTGCCATTTTTTTTAATTAGATTGGCAAATTCCATCAATTGCGTTTTCAAGCTGACACCTGTGTGCAACTTTTATGCAAGTGAAATTTTTTAATATGGCGAATATTTTTTTTGCTCCAGACCTTAGTAGAAGTACTTTTCCAAAATTGCACTTTTCAAACTTTTTTTCAGCAATTTTTTAGATAGTAAATGTTTGATTTCTTGACTAGCTTTATACATTATAGATAGTAAAAATGTTTGAAGTTTACACCACTATTTTTAGTTTTGCAATATTTTAATTAGTTTAGCTGCTACAACATTTCTAAAAAATGTGGAACGCGCGTCCCAATTTACCCCACCTGTCCCTTTTTACCCCATTTGATGGTATATATTTGTAATTGTAAATAATTGAGAATATAATCAATATATTACTCGACAACTTTAGTTTAGATCAGTGGTTCCCAAAGTGGGTAATATTGCCCCCCTGGAGGCGGTGGAAAGACCTGTGGGGGCCCTCTGGAAAGATCTGTGTTTAACCCCTTCACGGGTAAGTTACCATATATGATCACTTGAAATCGCGTCACAAAAAGCATCACCACGGCTTCCTGTTTGTTTTTGAGGCATCCTTATAATGCCTCAGTCAATCACTAATTATCTGACCATCGTTCTATCTATAGCATCACCAGCTGCAAACTCCACAAATTGAAATATGAGCATTTAAATGAAGGTTTTGACTCGGACAATGGAACTGACGCTCTTTCCGCATTTTCTTCAAAAGGTGGAATGTGGAAGTATAAATATATATATTTATTTATTTTGGCAACTTGATTAAATTTAATTAAATTAAATTGTTATGTTTCTATTTTTTAATTTGCATAGACTGAATTTTAATTATAAAGAAAAATTTTGTGTACTGATCACATTTATTGAATTCTTCAAGTGCGATTTAAACCTTCTGCCTTCAATAGGCAAAATTTGCAAAAATTCATAGAAATAAATATATTGTAGGATACTTTTTACTATCTTGAAATGGTTTCTGAAATTTTAATTTCTGGATTATTTCAATGCTTGCCCGCTAAAGGGTTAACCTTTCTCTTTCAAAATTGCAGCATACTGAATATCAAGAAAGAGGCGTTTGTTTTTATATGTGTCTGTCAGTGGAGGGGCGCTAGAGATTCACTGAGGAGCCAAAGTGGGTGCCAGCCTAGAAAAGTTTGGGAACCACCGGTTTAGAGCCACAAGATTTTAGTACTAGGCTAAGGCCCATGGTCAGGAAGATGTGCCAGGTGCGCGGGAATTTATTTTGTCATTTTAACGACCTGCGCGGTGCGCCGTACTACGTTGGTAAAAAAATGCACCGTACGAAAGCTAAAATAGTTCTACGATTTTAGTCGACAATATACGCGAGTATATTGACTACGCGAGTCGAACTGACAATAATAAAATGTAAGACATGTCCGGGTTACTTCTGACTCTTCCGGTTGTCCGCCTTGTCGGATACGGAACGTACGGTAATCGTAAACTGCGGCTGTTATACATACAAAATGTAAACAGTGTTGCCATATGACTTTGGAGAAAATTTCTTCTAAAATAAAGATGGCCGGGATTGCGCGAACACGTACGCAAAGATAATCAATTTTCATTACATTGCGCCAACTGTGCACAGCAATAGCTTAAAAAAAATGAAAATGCACAGGAAAATTCACCGAAAACATACATCATCCTGAGTGTGGGGCTGCGCCAAAGTGAAAAATCACAAAGAATTCAATTTACCTGAGAATTAAACAACAACACTTTTAAATAAATCTGGTCCATTACTCCATTTCACCAATTCCTAGGGTAAACGCGGTATATTCCGACATCATAGGTAATTCCGTCACTTCTCTAGTTTTTCCTTTATATTAAGCTTTGTTTTAGTTCCATGCGTTCATTGATGGTTGAAATGGTGACGTCATACATTTGCGTGTCGAAATACTGCAAAAACACTAGGTCTTGGCC